AAGTAAAACTGTAACTTAGATTGATCTAAATTTCATAGATAAACTCTTATTTCTTATTTGGAGCTCTAAGTGTAATGAAAAAGCACAGAGTATTGTTAGTGTACAATACCAAACTAGACGATGTCAAGTGAGATTCTATACTTACACATATTGTCTAATAATCATTTTCAGCTATTGGTTGAAATCATCATTATCACTGACTGTTGTGATGGGCATAGCATGGCTTGGTAATGTCGTCTTCTTTAGGAAAGAGCTTCTCTTCATTGCACACATCATGACAGTCTTCATTGCTGCTCAAGGAATTATTATATTTATACTTTATGTCCTGTTGTCCAAACAAGTAAAGGAAGGAAATGTTAATATTCCTTTTCATTGTTTGTTATTTTTATAGGTAAGGAGTTCATATTTGAAATGGTGGTATGACAAACAAGTCGGAAAGTCTCTCAAGATCACTAAAATGACTAATTTATCAGTAATCATTATGCAGTTATCTAACTCTTCTTCATACTGTAATTACAGGATGGAACTACATCTCATTTTAGAGTGGATACATCTGTGGAACATATTTATGACTCCATACGACATGGTACAATGAGTGAGGTTTATTATGCAGCATTCTTTTTTACTTTTTTTGCAGTGATTAAAGAATCAGATTTGAGATTTACCGAAAGCGTTTTCCACAACAAAGCAGTTACAACGCTATAAAGTGATGTTCTTTAACTCAAGACCATCATAATGTTTTTTATTTTATAAATGTTCCATTTATTTGCTTACATGTCAATAGAGGTTGAGGTTTGAGAATTGGAGATTAATCTCTCATTCTCTCTCTTGTTATTTATTTGTTCCTTAAAAATAAAAAAGTATTACCAACTTAAACTGAAGCCAAAAGCAAGCTCCATGACTCCATTGAATTGATATGTCTTCTTATTGTGGGAGTCTGGCTCTGCTAGTGGTGTACAAAGGAAATAAATAATTCCAACAATCCAAACAAAATCCATACTATGATCATCCTAAAAATAGTTGTGCATACAGAATCCATACACAACCTATCCTAAAGATGCTGCTCTCTGTGGCCTTGCTTCTCTTCATCTCTTATTCCACTGCTACCCATCCAGCCTTGTAAGTAACTTTCTGTAATAATTTTCTGACTAATAATCTTTTTGCTATGTAACTAGCACAGCTTCATTCAGCATAAACCCGATAAAAGAAAACTGTACATATAATATTTCAGTGAGATACAAGACACCAGAAGCTATGAATTTCACTCCATGGTACTTAGCCTATGCCATAAATGGTTCAAGTCAGTATCTACATGATAGAATATCGTACATTTTGATTATTATTTAAAATTAGATCGAGTTTGCGATAAGAGTAGAAAAATTGTCAGTTTACAACTCCCCAATGGCAGTGAAGTTCAGTATCAGCTTGAGATTCAATCTGATAATATCTCTGTTACTGATTGCTGTATCAATGCTACTAGGGGGGTTAGATTTAACTACACAAATGAAACAAGGCAATACAATTAGATTTATAATATCATTGCATTTTTATTGTAGGCGCTATCACTACAAAGACTTTTTTTGTGGCCTTGATGCAAATGACTCAAACAAACTTTGTCCAAATTCTTCACATGATGCTTTTCCTACAAGAATCATCAAGGTAGGGTCTCCTTTCAATATACTTAGTCCTGATTCAAATTGCTCAATGATGATTGATTATGACTATAAGAAAATATGGGGCAATGATAAAATGTTACTGACCCAATCTATTGCTGGAAACAAGTAAAAATAGTTTAATCTTATGTATGATTGAACGTTTTGGTTATAGTAAAATTAGATTTAACCTTAAAATGGATGGATGTGTTCAACCCCTTCCTGTTAATTCTGCTCCCAATCCTGTCCTCCTCTCTATGATTACTGATCAAAATGAAACAATTCATTTAGCTTATTATGCACCATATGCTAACAATAATTGGACAAATTTCAACAGTACCAATTCGTCGCTGAATAGAATACCTGTTTATTCTCCTGGATCTTGGGATGAACCAACTTTTATTGAGATTGATATTAATGACACTATTGAAGGATTTTTATTAGTATGGACACAATACCACTATATACCTAATGGGGAACGTTGGACTCTAGTAATAAGAGACAATACGGATACTTTTATTAATGAACAACAACTTCATTGCTACAGTAATGGCAAGCCAAATAATAATAATCGAATACAAATGAGAACTGGGAATGGTTCTCCTCGTGCTGTTAGTTATTGTTTTAAGATTAAAGATGATGATGATGCTCCATGTCCAAACTTCACTATTCCGATTAATCCAGCTTCATCTTCATCTAATGTTCCTCATGATAGTATCACTTGTATACCTAGTGAAATGACTACTTCACCTAATGGTGTGACTAGTTCACCTAATGCTGTAACAACCAGCTCAACCAGTTTGACCAGTTTCTCTATTACCAGCTCGTCATTTGTCACTTCTTCCAGTCATTTATTAAGCTCTAAAACTACTGAATCCTTGTCACCATCACCCAGTACTGGAGGCATTTCTTCTATTTCATTTTCAACCAGTTCTCCTAAGCCATCATGTACACCTGTTGATGTATGGCCTGAGACACAGGCTGGAGAGATTGCTAGAGGAACATGTAAACAAGGAACATTCAATGGTATGTCTAATATAATAACTACATTGAATACATTGCCTACCTTTATTAGCTACAAGACGTTGCAGAGATGATGGTACATGGGGCATGATGATCAATTGTAGTTCTTCTGAATCCTTTGAAAGAATACTTGAGGAAGTAAGACTATGACAAATTATGATGCATATCATAGTATGAGCATTTGGTATATCATTAAGTGTCAATATTCTCATAGGCTATGGAGAATCCTGAAGCTGCTCTTAACTCATTAAATGATAATTTTACTGATATTAATGTCAAGGAAGTAGCTGTTTTATTGAACTTTATATCAAATTCTTTGCAGAATTTTACAGAAGATCAGGCAGGGGTAAGCAATTTAAGATAGCAGCATTCTTTTTGATTGATACTTTTGGTCATTATCATTACTTTATGTTTATATTATGATAGACAGCTTTGAGTATTGTTGATGGAATATTTGCAATGGGAATTGATGGTCCACAGGTATGTCCTTATGTACATTTAGTATCTTTATTGAATCAGTAAAGGAGGATAAAAGGAATATTGGCAGCCAATTGATATTAACATTGGATGATATTGCACTGAAATTACAAGAACCTGATGTTAGTATCTCAATTGGATCCATTGGTAATGAATACATGACATTCATTTGTTTAATTGATTGTACTTTTAAGAATTGAGAAGTCAGCTATTAAATGACAGTGATTTTGATGTTGTTAAAGGGATTTCTTCAGAAGCTAATTCTATTTCATTACCTAATGAGATATTCAATACTAGATCTAGTACTGACCCAGTTAGAATAGCATCATTTATCTATAAGGACATGTCATCAGTACTTGTACCAC